CACTTCACCCCCTCAAAATGTCTCTGGTATATGGTTGTTCATTATTTTTGTTATTTTCTCGCCTGGTCCATTATACTCCTGCTATGAGTGAAACCACCGTGATTTATATTTTTAAGGGATTCTCTTGGAAGGAGAATGAATTCTATAGGTAGGCAAGTGGATATAAGAAAATCAGAAATATCAGGATTGAGTGCTAGGAGAAAAGTTCCTTTAGAGTTTTATTCAGAAAAGGCTTTAACGGGGTGAAATGTTTGTGAGATCAATGGGGAGAGCTGGAGTAATAGTATGGGAATAGCATTGGACTGTGGAGTTCAGGGACACCCACAGCAGTTGCAGTCCAAAGCTCAGGAAACCGGCCACCATTGAAAATGCTACTCACACCCACAATGGCCTAACCCAAGTATTGCAACTTCCTTGCACTCTGTGACCTTGTAAACCAATGCCAATAGGAAGACTGCCTCTTACAAACTTTGTGCTAGTGCATTTAACTGGTAGTATCTAGGTCCAATCCATTCTGTTTGGAGAGCATCTGGATATATTTTTAGGTTTCCAACTTGTCCCAATTATCAAATAAAATGGAGCTTGAGAGAGCCAATGTGTCAGATCTAAAATGGAAGGCGGTAGAGGTAATGAAGGTAGAGGTTGGTGTCAAGGTATTCTAATCCACATTCAGAGTACGGACAATGGCAGCACTGGACATATGGATTGGAAGGGCAATTCCTTGATACTTCGCTTCAGCGATCGATCGGAGATATGGTGCCACTGGGAAACCAGTGGTGCTGTAATGGGGCCATCACCAGCAAAGGGGGAGGTTCCAGGTTTCTGCCCCACCCAAGGGAGGGTAGAGCTGAGCAGAAGAGGGGAATTTGGAGAGGAGTCTGAGGCGAAAGGAAGAAGGATGGAGAGCCAGAAGGAGACCTGAGAGAGGCACATGGAGCAGAGCAACATGTGAAGAAGCGGCTCTTGTTTCTTGGTCCTGGACTGGTGAAGCAGATTGTGGTTGAGAGACCCATAGTGAGGTTGACTACGGCAGCTTTTATCTTGATTTTGATTTTGATTTTCTTTTCCTCCCAGACTTGTCTAGCCCTTTCTGGCGCTTTTTGACCCTTTTCTATGGGTCCCCACCAGAAGGTGCTTTAGGCTTGTGGCGGGCTTTCAGGTCTTGCTTTGGGCCAATCCCTTTGAGGTGGAATTTTACCCGTGAGGGCAT